TGAATGGCTCAAGAAAAACAAAATTAAGGTTTTGGAGTGGCCAAGTCAAAGTCCAGACTTAAATCCGATTGAGATGCTGTGGCATGACCTTAAACAGTCCATTCATGCTCGAAAACCCTCCAATGTGGCTGAATGAAAACAATTCTGCAAAGAAGAGTGGGCCAAAATTCCTGTGAAAGACTCATTGCCATTTATCGCAAACGCTTGATTGCAGTTGTTGCTGCAAAGCGTGGCACAACCAGTTATTAGATTTAGGGGGCAATTACTTTTTCTCGTAGTGCCAGGCAGGTTTGGACAGCTTTTTTCCCTTAATAAATGAAATCATAATTTCAAAACTGCAGTTTGTATTTACTCAGGTTATCTTTGTGTAATATTAAAATTTGTTTGATGATCTGAATCTTTTAAGTGTGACAAATATGCAAAAAATTTTAAAAACAGGATGGGAGCAAAAACTTTTTCACACCACTGTATGTTGATTCAATTTGTATTTTTTGCACCAAAAGTTACAAATCTTTAGATGCAAGTTTTTGTCCCAAATGCACATGCATAGGGAAAATACTGAGGGTCTTCTGAGAATGAAACATCACTAAAATTAATTTCTTCAGATTTTAACTATCTATCTATCTATCTATCTATCTATCTATCTATCTATCTATCTATCTATCTATCTATCTATCTATCTATCTATCTGTCTATCTGTCTATCTGTCTGTCTGTATTTTTGCATAATGGGTTTAAACATTGTGCCAAAATCTCAAAAAGAAAGCACACGCAAAGCAAAACAAAATCTTCTTTCACATTAGAAGTTTTTTTTTTTTTACCGCGATACAGAATCATGATACAGTGCAAATTTGTGATAGAAATAATTACAACAAACACACAAATAAAAGTTAATTCATTTCATTACATTCTCTTTTCACTTAGAGTTTGACACAAACAAGATATATTGTCCCAGAAAAAAAATGTGATCAAATTTGCATTAGTAAAACTGTTATAAATCAGATCATACTGACAATCAGTTATAATTCATTATGCAAAGCATTAATAAACACCAATGATAAACTGAAGCTAATGCTATAATTCATCCATTAATAAAATAATAACCTATAAAATCCATAGGTACAATATCAAAATACAAAAAGGCCTTTTAACTTTTAAAAAGGAGAAAATTCTTCAGTTACCTTGTGTTGGAAATGGTTATTCCAGTCAAATACAAGCATTATAGTACTTTGGCACAAATTAATTTCTAACTTAGGAAAAAGTTCAAATTAGGCAGTTGCCAATGGACAGGCTTGCCAATGGACAGGCACAGCGTGACATACCTTCATCTGGAAAACCATGAACAAAACTCTATCCATCCATACTCCAAACCACTTATCCTCATGTCAGGTATCCAGCGTCTCAATACTACCACGAGGACAGCCCATGGAGCGAGGAATCCAACTCCTCAGAGAGGATTAATGCTTGAAAGAAAGCACCATACTCACAATAACCCTCAATGGTGAGGAGAGCGATGCTTCCAGAGTGTGTAGACAGCTGTCTGGATCACATCCCTTAGGTCTTTTACGTACCTTCCTTTGACCCGCGATTCTTCCTACGGGGGAGGAGCATGAGCCGTGACACTAGCCTTCTGAGCCAGTCTCTGATCCTCAAACCGAGACGGGCTAGGACCCCTGGGTTGTTCGGGCTCAGACCTGGACTTCGTGAAGGCCGCTATCCCGGTCTTTCAGC